TGGTCGCCAGCTCCTTGCTGGGCTCGGCGGGGGCCAGCCTGCTGCTCACCCTCATCCCACCCGCCGGCGGGGACGCGGGGTACAAGTACTGCAATGCCAGCCAGCAGCCGGGTGACCAAGGGGCCGCCACCGCGGTGCCCGGTCCGGGCACGGGCAGCTACAGCGTTTTAAGCACGAGCGCTATTACGAACGCGAAAGCGGTGTCAAAAGAAACGATGGAAACAACTGCTGACATTTTGATAGCGAGCAGAAAGCCAACGCTAACCGGTTCAGCCTTCCAGGGATTACTTGGCCTGACAGATACACTTGAGAAAAAAGGCAGAGGGGTTGGCAAAGGTGATACAAATGGCTACTTGGATGGTCCCTCTGGGTGGACAAGTTCTGTGAAAGCAGTTAAGCGGGAGACACGAGAACCAGAAATGCCGGCTTCCTACAGACCTCCCTTACGTGGACTCAAGAAGCAAATGAGCAGCCTGGGTTCTGCTGCAATAGATCTTGCTGATAATGCTGAAGAAACCCATTATGCTACTGAAAGTAGTGAGCTCTCTTTGTTTAAAACAACTCGTCCTACTGTTAGAGATGCTCACGTGTCTGGAAACCTTTCAGACCACCAGACAGATGCTCTAGATGTCAGCTTCGAGGCAGTGCAAAACATCTTTCAGGACAGAGAGCATCAGATTTTTCTTATGGTACTGGGTGCTATTGTGCTTTGGGAGTTGTTGGCGACTTCTCTCGAATGGACAGTGGATGAGAGTCTCTATGAATATCTTGACTTCATTGACGCGACTGACAGGTACGGCAAGCTGTGGATTTGGAGTTACCTGGGTGCATCTGTAGGCGCCTGCAGCATTGGCGTATTTGTGGATCAACTGAATTGCTTCCTCAGCGGTACAATCACCCGCCTCGCTGTCCATTTCTATGGCTATGCTCTCCTGATAACGCTGTCATTGCTTGTCAGTGTCTTTTTTCCCATCCATGTTCCCAAGAAAACCGACCGTGTTAACAAAACTGCCAAAGCCCTGGCCCTACTGTGGAGCGATGGCCGAGCAATCCTGTACACCATCACCGTCTTCCTCACTGGTGCGGCTGGGTCTGCAGTGCACAACTTTCTATTCTGGCAGATGCAGGACCAAGGCAGCAGTCAGCTGTACATGGGGCTCTCTGTGGCTGTTGGGCTACTTGCTGAAATTTTGCTTTATTTCTTCAAAGGGAAGTTGCTGAGGACTTTCTCGAGCAGCAAAATTGTTGCAGTGAGTCTAAGTCTCTTGGCAGTACAGCTTCTCTGCTACTCCTTCTTGTGGACTGTGTGGTCAGTTCTCCTTATCCAGATCTTATCCGCCTTCAGTAGCGGTGCTTTGTGGTGGGTCGTTAACGTGGCAGTGGATGACATAGCCGCTCCAGGCATGGAGAGGTCTCTGCACACTGTTCTGCAGGGCCTCTGCTACAGTGGAGGAGCAAGCTTGGGCAGTTTTGCGGGAGGATTTGTCGTGAAGCACTTTGGCCTTGCAGTTCTGTACAGGGCATGCTGCGTGTGCCTGGTGCTGTGGCTCTTCTTGTTCTTAATTGTCCAATCTAAGTTGCCACGGCAGAAAAAAATTAATTATTCTCGTCTCCTGGCTGCTGATTCCAGTGATATGAGTGACTCTGATGAGGAGAATGAGAGAGATTGGCTGGTAAAAGCTATGAAGGATGAAAGCTTTAATAGGAGTTGGTCACAACAGCATAGGATTAACTAATCTGTACTTGAATGTAGGGGGTGGATTGGTAATGTGGTATGATGATGATGCCCAGAAATGACCGTTAATTCTGAAGTGCTAAATATATACAGTATATATCTGACAGGACAGATTTTTATTTTAAAAATTTTATAACTCTCTTTATTTTCTTTATTTATAGCGTTCTTGTAATTTTTTTCTTTTTAACTTAAAGATTTTGCTTCCAAAATCATAACAAGGTGTTCCGGGTATACATTTGCTGAAATGAATGTAGCTAAGTTTTTAGTCAAAAAGCAGACTTGAATTGAATACTTGATCCCCAGAGCTGATGCTGTGGAAACTGTGAGCAAAAGCTGTGACCTGTACTTCGACATCATTGAATGAAAAATATTGTAATGCTGACAGCACACCAAACGTTTTCAAGGTGCTATGTCTGTGAACTTTTGCTGAATAAGGGATGTGAATAAAAAAAGTGGTTCATTTGCTCTGCTTTGATTTGTAAAATCAGATTTTGCTAGACTGCCTGTCTTTTCATGTTTTGGGATTTAAATATGCTTCTGCATTGGCATCTATTGGAAAAAACCTACCATGTCTGCTCACAGTCAGTGCCTGCTTGGCTGTCCAAATTCAGCAGAGCAGCCTGTGGACTTCCTTGTGTTCATTTACCTAAGGTGGCACCCAGCATTCAGGGTGACCAGGAAGTAGTCTACACTCGTGATCTGAGTAACTTCTGTGGGCTGGGAATTAACGTAGGGCAATATTCATTCAGGAGGAACTTGGCACTGGCTGAGTTGATCTGGTTGAAGCTGGTGATCTTCCCTAGGTCAGTTTGGCCTGAGGGCAGCCCTCTTCTCATGTTTCCTGTTTAGAACTTAATCTGTGTCCTGAACAGGGCCTACTAAGTCCAGAAGGATCCGCAAGCTGCCTTATCTGCCTTGCCTTAACCTCAAAAGCACACAGATTTCAACACCTCTTCAATAGGTAAGATTTGCTTACAAATGAAAAATTGGTGGTCTGATCTCATTAAAAGATCTGTGTCAGACCTTAAATGGAGCTGGTGGAGAATCTTTGAGCCTTACAGTCCTTTCAGCTACCATCAAAAGCTGTTGTCAGTTTATTAGGTATTTCCTTGGTCAAGGAACTACATCATTCCTTTGCAGAGGGATAGATTTTAATACATCTTCCTAGTATTTTACAAGCCATGAGACAGGCAGCTGCAAAAAGCAGAATATTTATTTAAATGGATATTTAATATGTAACACCCAAATGGCATTGCGGTCTGTCACCCTGCTGTGTTCTGGACTCAGTAGAAAGTGGTTGGAGACAAGGAAAAGCAATGCCATTGAAGATAATCTCTTTCTCTGTATGCACCGATTCCAGATTATCTGTACATCAAAGGCTTTCAGGGTAATTAGCTCTCTGTTTTCCTGGCACAAATCCACTATGCCATACAGAATACTCTACTAGAAAGACTCTATAGATAGAATTGTCCTCGTGCCAAGAATAGCTGGAACTTTTTATTAAGACGTTGCCTTCTCCCAGGAATTCAAACTCAAGTTGAGAACAATTTTAGTGTCAAGAATTTATCCCAGCCTTATTTTCATATAATACCTCAGGAACTCTAATTACTTGTTAACAGAATATCTGACTTCAGTCTTTAGTAACATAACTGCAAGCAGCACATCATAGAGCCGTCAGTGCTTTTGTGAGATGAATGCGGCAGAAATAGCTGGAATGGTTTAAAATGCGGTTGCTTCTTTAGCTGGAAGTGACTGCCCTCATTTGAAGCCAATTAAATGGGTGATACGTACTCTTTCTATCTGCTTCAGCACAAAATCAGCAGCTGTAGTTCCAGTTTTGCAAAGAGAAACCTTGATAGGAAAAGTGCTTGTGCAATCCATCCTGTGACCATGGCATGACTCCCCTGGGCTCTTACCTCTGTGGTTGTTTTGGCCATGGATGTTTAGATGTGCTTAGCCACTACCACTATGAACAGGGAGGATTTAAGGTATGGCCTAAAGTTTAACTTCAGTGTAATAATCTTGCATGATAAGATTTTTTTAAAAAGTTGTTAATCCAATAAACATATCTGGTGCTGATTCAAGGGAGAATCACATTTGTACAGTTTAAAATATGTTCTGAATTACAAACCACTATGGAAGTGGATGTGGCACTTCATTCACTGAAGAAATTGCACCAATTCCATTAAATCATTTTCCACTGGGGTTTATACAGTTTCTGTGTGTAAGCTCTACAACATCGGTGACTCAATTTCTTCTTCTCTGATGGTCACAGACCCTGCAAGCCAAAAGGGTAATGAAGGAGGTGGACTTAAATTGTTCTATGTGAGACTTCGCTCTGAGCATGGCTTTATTGTTCTTGCAGATGAAAGAACATGCTAAGGCATTTAATATTCTTGGGAATAAGATGTAACCGAGAAGAACCAAACTGCCTTTGGGGAAAACAGATTCTCATGATGTATTTCCAACCACATTAGCAGTTATTTTTGCATTACGTTGCAACTATTTGCCAAAAAATTGATGTTGAAACTAATGTTTCTTTAAGTTTTTATTCTTAAACAGCAATTGTAAGGTTAAAAGTGATTATAAAATCACGTAAGATTTTACTGTTTGCCTCCTTCACGGTGAACTTTAAGCAAATTTCAGAGGCTTATATGTAGAAGTACTTTTTTTTTTGCCCCTTGGTGTCAGTCCAGGGTTTAAGTTGAGCTGTGTCCTTCTTCTCTGAATACAATTAGGTTTATTAAGCTCAGGAGGCAACCATAGTTAGCACTGAGGAACAAGTTGTGCACAATGACAGACTTTGTAGCTCTTATATTTTAAATTTCACATAGCTCAGTGTATGTGTACTTTGTGAGAGGTTTCAAAGGATCTAAGTAAATCAGTTTTATTAGATGAGACATCAATTGCCAAAAAATGACAAAGGCCTCTTTGCTTATCGGGAAACAACTTACAAGCCCTGCAGGTAGTTTCGGTATACAGCTGATGCAACTGAACTGGAATCCGAGTAACTCATTGCATCAGACACCTTATCTTGCTTTTTAAAAATTTGTTCCCAAGTTATAACGGAACTAAAATCGCAGATTCTGTCTTTCTGGCACTTATTTTATGATGGGATATTGCAACTGGTTCCTTCAGCTCCTCTCTGTGTGCACCTCACATCTGTGGTTGACTTAAATAGTGTGGCACTTTCAGAATACGGAATTAGATAAAACTCAGTGGGTGCTGATCTCTCAATGTTCATTTTTCTTGTGGATCTGATCAGCATAGTAAGATCCTTTCCAGCATTCTCCAAACATTTCTATAATTCAGCAAACGACCACAGCATGTTTCTTTGTGGACTGTAGTGAAATCTGCCCAGAATTCACAGAGAGGTTTTTGTATTTTTGTAATGAGTCATTTCCCAAAATCATAGATATGGTCCATTTAAGGTAAGTCCATTTAGCTGTAGTTTCACAAGAAGAGGAGAGTGATATTTCTGAGAGCTGTGGAGTTATTCTGCATGTTCTGAATCAAAAGCAAGAGCTCTTGAATTGTCTTTTCTTCCATGACAGGGTGTAATGCCTCTAAGGAATGATCTGTGCTGTCTTCAGTGCTGCTAGTAAAAGTGTTTCTTGTTCTGTTCCTCTTTAAAGTACAGACAAGACATTCCCACTCTGATCTGAACTCTTAGGTGAATTATGATTACAGCATGATACCGAAATTCTGTGCCTTTATAATATAGGTCCCATATAGACTTCTTAAAACATTAGGCAGCTCCTGACCATTACTGGCTTGAGCGCTAAGTAGTACTAATGCAGGGGGAAAAAAAAAAAGTCTATCTTGAAATACCTTGACACTCCCAGCTTGGCATCTGTATTGCTGTATTTATCAAGAGGGAGCCAATGTAAAGGAATCTCTGCTAATTTAGACTGTACATTTCTTAGGGAACAGGTAAATTTTTTTCTGCGTGGTTTCTCCCTGGGGTCTGGTTTTGCTGTAATATAAATTACTTTTCTGGCCAAGGGCAATTTTTTACTTTAAATTGTGTATGTTAAGACCATAAAACCGTGAACCCAAACGTAGAGGCGAGTATGAGGCAACTTTAAAATTAACCTTTGCTTCACCTTTAATATTTAATAATCTTGCTTGAAGAAATCAAGGAACAGAAAACATAGTTATCTTATCACAACCTCACCAGTACAGCAGACAGGGAAGTTGTTGGTAACATGGCTTCATTTTTGAAACTTTGAGAACATTTCTACCTCTAATCATGTTGAAAGGTCAGAACTGTGTCGGTAGTTACACCACCAAAAATAGTAGGCTTGTGTTAACATGGGTTTTTATTGTTAGTAAAAGGGATTTTGAGCCAGGAAACACGATCACATGCTGAAATAACTTTAATATTCAAAGCATGAATTGAGAAACATGAACCTGATTTTTTGACAAATCCTAAGGAAAATAAACTTATTAAATAACTCCAAACCAGTTATTCTGACATATACATCCCTCCACAGGAATAAGCATTCAGGTTCTTGGGACCACAGTCCTTTCTCAACAAGTGACAAATTAAAATACTCAGCTTCCTTCTGTCATCAAGATGCGCCTAATTGAGTTGGCAGCAAAGAGCCCTGTAAGCATCACCCTGGAAGCATTTTTGAAGATTTGGAATTTGTTGACTGTGCCTTAGCAGTATCTGTTGTTTGCTGTTGCCTACTCGGGTTGTTTCTTTAAAGAGCTTCAAATGACCGTGTCCATCCTATGTTCTCCAAGCTGCATTTTAATTCTCTTTGTATTTGTCAGCGTCTTTCAAGTGCCTGAGAGATTGTATTATTGTTGCTTGGTACTGGATGATAAGCTTATAATGTATGTGTACTTTCTGTTGTGTAGGTGCTTGATTTCTACAGAAGTGACTGTATACAGGGAAATATTAGTGCTTTTTAAGACATCTTCTGTTAGGGGCCTGAAAGCGTTGCTGCTAGTGATTCTCCTCTCATGTAGACCAATGCGAAAGTCACCTCA